AATGGGCACAAGTTGATGGAGAGGAGGTATAGATTGGACATCCGCAAGAACTACTTCACAGTTAGGGCGGCTAGGAGCTGGAACCAACTTCCAAGGGAAGTGGTGCTGGCCCCTACCCTGGGGTTCTTTAAGAAGAGGCTGGATGCCTACCTGGCTGGACTCATTTGAGTCCCGTTTTTGTTTTGGGGTTTTGCTGTTCTCCCGCCCTGGTGGGGGGTCGGGCTAGAAGATCTACTAGGTCCCTTCCGACCCTAAATCTATGAAACTATGAAACTATGAAACTGCTATGCCAATGTGCAAGGAAAAATGCACATGGATTTGATATATCCCTTAAACAAATTGGTATTATTACATAGCACCAGGCTACTGTGCAACTAAATGGGCTAATCTCACCATACGCATTTTAATCTTTATAAAGTAAAAAACAAAACAGAACAAATTTCCAAACACTCCTGCTTTTATATATTATATCCTAAATGAATAAGAGAAAGCCTCAAACAAAGTCATGGGATTTGGGGGGGAGATTTATATTTGGTGCCAAATTATTCAACTTTTTAATGTATATTTGTATCCACACACGCACACATGCACACAGTATACATAAATAGGTGCATGAGTGAGTTATATATTGCATGCACTTGTGTATATATGCATGCACTTGCACACCCACACATTCTAAATACATTGTATCTTTCTGTGCTCTTGCAGTGGTTATCATGCTGTGCTGAAGCAAAAGAAAAGAACCAGCCCAATACCAACCCATTTAATCTCTCTAAGCAGTATCCCTTGTTTTTATTAACAACAAAATACTTGTGACTTCTTTGGAGTGATGATTTTCAAACTGCTTGTCAAAATGGTCAGTTGTTATCATATCCCAAGTGATTTGCCTTCCTTGCTATTTTATTCCCACCTTTGGTTTTCAAAAGAATGACGACAGCCATAGACTATTTTTGTATTCTTTGTCCTTTGACAAAGTGGCTTCATGCAAACTGAATGATCTTGATTTTAAAAAGAGGCAAGATATGCTCAATGTACCTGATAAGACTTGAGATAAAAACTACTGAAGTATTCATTCCTGTGCTTCTACTAGAACTAACAGATAGTTTTGTTGGGTTTTTTTAAGACAGGATAATTTCTTTTGTTGTATAAAATGGCAAGTTAATATACAGTAATCTTGACCATGGAAAATACATTAGAAACTGTGCATAAAACGGAAAATATTACCCTCCCACACTACACCTACTGGATAAAGTCTTACAAGGAAAAAGACATTTTTATATTTTGATCTATCTAAATTTGAAATGAACAACATGGAAAAGCAGATTTCTTGAAGAAAAAAAATCAGATTTCTTCACTGTAAATGCAGACTGGACACATGAATCAGAACACTCTTTTGCACAGCCTTTCCTTCAGATGCAATGAGACAACTGTCCAAATACTGTGTGTGAATGTGACAGCCTACGTATTAAAAATGTTAAGGCTACCATTTTAAAGCAATATGCCTACAGATAATTTAAAAAACCAAGCCTACAAACACCAGTCCATATTTTAAATACTGAGAGTCACGTTTTAAAACACTTGACTTAAAAAAGAAAGAGGAGTCTACAAAATGAATTCAAGTACTTTTGGAATAGGTCACTTGTGAACTGAAGTACCTTTGTTCACACCACAGCAGTACTGAAAACAGAACAGAATATTCTGTCTTCGCCTCAGATCACATTTAAATGCAAGTGCTCACAGTTCTAATCTGCTGAAATATAGAGATCCTCAGATGATACAAAGATTAAAAATTTTCTCTTGCCCTCACAAAGAAGGACCAAGTTGAAGCATGGAGCTAAGATTAACTCTGATTTGCTCATAAAAGGGAAGGCTGAACCTTAGTAAAATGATCCTCGAGAAATATTTTGAAGCAAATAACACAAATATTTAAAAATGAAACCTTTGCTTTGTTTAATGGCAGTGTTTTTGGCAAGTGATCCATTGAAAGTGACAAATGTGGCACTCTTTCCCAAATACTGGCTGTCCTGAAACTAACAATAAAGAAGCCTATGTCCTTTTGATCTCAGTTATGAATTGATGTAATCTTTCTAGCAAGCTTCAATCCACCACAAAGAACAAGTGAATAGATACTGCATCCCAGATGAAACGTTCATTGCTTCTTTAACCTTTGTTCTGCACTAATACCTTGACTTTGTCCTTCATAAAGAGAAATATTCCTTTTCTTTTTTCACATATTCTTTTGAATACTCTTGTTGATAAAATAAATGTCATGTAATCTTGCTACAAGAGACCTAAAATCTAGTCATATCTCTGTTTTGCTGCAAGTCTCCTATACTCTCATAGTCACTCTCTCCTGAGAGAGCAGTTTGGCTGGTGGTAGGCACTGATAAGGTCCTATCTTCCTCCTGGCTGACTGAGTGGATAGCTTCATAGTCAGGCTCTGGCTCCCCATTTGGTTGGTCCGCTGAGTGAGGCACAGTGGTAATATTTAGGGTATTTTCAAAGTCTTTTACACTAGCATAGAGTCCACTGGAGATAGATGGTGACCTTGGAGGTACAACTTCTTGAATACTGGTGTAAGTGGAATCCAGTACCCTCATGGACTGTCCTGGCTTGTTCACAGAAGAGTACATCGCTGAAATCTATGGAACAAAGACAAAAATTGAAGGTCTAAGCATCACATAGAACTGCTCTTTCGCTGTCCTCTTTCTGTTTTTAAAACAGTCTTTGAAAAAGTATGTTTCTATGGCATACATTTACAATCCTTTTTTAAAAGAAAAATACATTTTATAAATTTAGAAAGGACTTGGTGTCCTTTGGTGTCCCCACTTCTATTTTAGATATTTTAGGGCTTCTTTAAGTAATCCCAAGTAGCATAGGTACTTTATTATTTGTAGGGGTTTTTTCTTGTTAGAAATGTATGTTAAGAAATTGGCGGTTTCAGATTTTCAAATTGTCACAGTGTTTTCTTGATTCATAAATTTGCTACAAATACACAGTCTGGCCTCTTGGGAGCTCATGTACTGTAGGAGCTGCCAAGGATGAGTGTGCTATGTGCTATGCATTATATGAAGTGCCAGCAACATAATCTTCTACTTCAAAACAGCTCTTATGAAGAAACTGAAATACAAATACTATTTTTATTAAGCATAAAGAAGAAATTGTAGGTTCTGTATTTTCTTACTGAATACGTTTTAGGCTTGTTTGGTTTTTTTATGAGTATGCATTTAAATTTGAATTTGTTTTACTTTTCCCTCTAGGTTTTTTGAAGCCACCTGTAGGTAAATTTAAGGAATCTGAGGTGGAAACACTGTTATAAATAAATTAGGCATATAGTAAAAAGTACCTGCTGAAAGTGGCTCTAAATCTTGGGGTTACTTCAAGATTTTCAAAACTTTTGCTTATATCAAGAAAATCAGTTTCACCTTGTGGAATGCCATGGGAAAGACTTAATTTGTTCTGTGTTCTTAGCTTTATAATATAGTGATACCTTTCCCATTCAGGCATACAGGCTTATACCATAATAGCATTGTTTTAAGTACTATAAGGGATGTAAAAAGAAACTTAAAAATGGGGGAGTAAATTCACCGACATGAAATCATATGAAATAAAACTAGACCTAGTATAAGGCCTGGTTCACAGAACCTATTCATTTTGCTTCAGTGGGGTTTAATCCTATTCATTTTGCTTCAGTGGGGTTTAATCAGTTGGAGAAGCGCTGAGGTCCCGGAGGGGAGGCGAGCCAGGTGTCCAAGGAGAGTGATCGTTCCTCAAGGAGACGATCCTCCAAACCCAAAGGAAGGTAATCC